TAATTGAATCATTCCAAATATGAATTTACAACAAAACCTGGGTATACTAGATCACAAAAGCAAACAGATACAGATGAATATAGGGTATATGGTATGATATGATATGAAACCTGTATACCAAAAAAGGCGTATGATTTTGAAATCATTAAAAGTATTGAGGGAGCGGGAGAAAGAATGACATAATATAGAATGATCAATAAAAAAGGTCATCCACCCATTGACCCTCGAAACCAGAAGAAAGTCAGACTCATCCACTATACTAAAGTTCATTCACCTACTCACCCACTAATCCATCCATCCATTACCCCACAATAAACAAATAACTAAAATAAATAAATCCAAGCTCACCTCGTCTATAGTTGATGACGAGGACGAAGAGTCTCCCATCAACATCATCCACTTCGTCGCGTAGTTGACCATTCGACTACGTTCCCACTCATCCGCCTGCCCCGTGCCCTCAAAAAGGAATCGAATTCACTGTCCCATTATCTACCTACCCACTTTATCATTCCCCTAAACATCCACCTACTTATTCTATTCTTTCGCCCATCCACCCGTTTTTTTCATTCTTCGTATGAATTAGAATAAAGACCAGCTACCTTATCCTCCACCTATCCACCTTACCTAGAATAGAACTGACACTCACTAAGTATGCCCGAATCTATAATTGATTGTGACGACGACGGCCCTCCCATCTATCCAGTGCCATCCAATACAAACTACTTACCCATCCCAACCCCCTCATCCACCCAAACTAAACCGGAAAGCAGACTCACCCAGGATACCCAGCCTGTAGTTGATGGTGACGCCGCAGGCCATCCACCCACCCACCCACCCATCCACCCACCCACCCACCCAGAGTAAACCGGAAAGCAGACTCACCCAGGATGCCCAGCCTGTAGTTGATGGTGACGCCGCAGGCCATCCACCCACCCACCGACCCATCCACCCATCCACCCACCCAGAGTAAACCGGAAAGCAGACTCACCCAGGATGCCCAGCCTGTAGTTGATGGTGACGACGATGAGCCTGCCGAGCGCCGCCAGCACGGAGCCGTCGTACAGGCTGGCCGAACCCCACTCGTACGACTCGCCGTGCACGTACACCACCACCGGGTACGCCACCTTCTCCGCGCTCGAGTCTGGGGAGAGAGGGAGGAGGTTCTAGAGTGAGAGAGAGAGAAAAGATCCTAGAGTCTTAGGAAGAGAGGGAGGAGGTTCTAGAGTCTGGGGAGAGAGGGAAAGAAAGCTCAAGAGTCAGTGGGGGGAAAGAGAGGAGTCGTCGGCGAAAAAGAGAGGAATCTGGAAGGTTTTAAAATTAGAGGATAGATAGTGAAAGGAGAGAAAAAGAGGAAGGGGGGGGGGTTCTAGACTCTGTGAAGAGATAGAGGAAATACTTGATTCTGAAGGGAGAGAAGGATTTAGAGAGTGTGGGGAGAGAGAGAAGGAAAAAAAATCGAGAGATAGATAGATATGTAGGTAGACTGATAGATAAATAGACATATATATATATATATATATATATATATATATATATATATATATATATATATATAGAGAGAGAGAGAGAGAGAGAGAGAGAGAGAGAGAGAGAGAGAGAGAGAGAGAGAGAGAGAGAGAGAGAGAGAGAGAGAGAGAGAGAGAGAGAGAGAGAGTGAACTGAAGAAGAAAGGGTAGAGGAGTTTGTTGATGTGAAATTTATTGTCAATGCAAAGCAAATTTATGATTATGTGGAAAGGGTAATAAAGATAACAATATTAATAATGATACTGATAACTGAACAATAATATTGCCATTACCAATAATACTAATATCATTGTTTCATTGTCATTATTATTGTGAGGATTATAATCATTATTACCAATAGTATTTTTTTCCTTTTCATAACTCCACACATACAGATATAATAATCTATTCAACTGGTCTGTACTATTAGATATTTACAAATATCCTTCTAATGTGCTCGAAAATAGAGTATGTGAACATATGAGGAAGACATCGTCGCCAGTGAGCTGTACATAGCCCCTCACTCACACTCCACCGCGCACTATACACAAATAGACACAGAACGCACAGGCACTTAAGATAACCACACGCATACGGATGCACACACACACACACACACACACACACACACACACACACACACACACGCGCGCGCGCGCACATCCACATATACAAAATAAATGCATACATATACATGCAAGATATACATACACAAACCCCCTCCCACCGTCTCCTCATTTTCTTCTCCCAAGTTCGGCCCCATCAGATGAAAATGCGTTTTATGAGGGTCATTCATCACCCCGACATCACATAACTCAAAACACCTCCTTTGTGTCATCATGAATTTTAAATGATCCAGCGATCTTGAGTTTTCACGAAGGTGTGTTTGATTTATTGATATTCGGATAGGAGAAATGTAAGCGTAAAATACGAATATCTTTAAAGACTATAGGAATGTATTGATGTTTGGACAGAAAGGGGTAATAACGGCCCTTTTGGAGAAGTTGGAGAGAGAGAGAGAGAGAGAGAGAGAGAGAGAGAGAGAGAGAGAGAGAGAGAGAGAGAGAGAGAGAGAGAGAGAGAGAGACGAGCGAGAAAAGAGAGAGAGAGAGAGAAAGAGAGAGAGAGAGAGAGAGAGAGAGAGAGAGAGAGAGAGAGAGAGAGAGAGAGAGAGAGAGAGAGAGAGAGAGAGAGAGAGAGGGAGGGAGAGAGAGAGAGAGAGAGAGAGAGAGAGAGGGAGAGAGAGAGAGAGAGAGAGAGAGAGAGAGAGAGAGAGAGAGAGAGAGAGAGAGAGAGAGAGAGAGAGAGAGAGACGAGCGAGAAAAAGAGAGAGAGAGAGAAAGAGAGAGAGAGAGAGAGAGAGAGAGAGAGAGAGAGAGAGAGAGAGAGAGAGAGAGAGAGAGAGACAGACAGACAGACAGAGAGAGATGGGGGGAGGCGAGGTTGATAAAAAAAGGAAAAAGGAAAAAAATCTGAAAAAAAAATTGAACACTAAAAGTCTTTCTCGTAAATGCCAAGATGAATTGGGGAGAAATGAAGAGATGAAAAATGTGGATAGCTTAATAGTTAAATTGGTAGACAGATGATCTGATAGATACACAAATAGATACCTAGCAATTTGGATAGATATATAAATAGATAGAGAAAGTAGAAAAGCTAAAGAGGGAGGAAGATAGAGATAGATAAATAGATAGATAGATAGACAGATAGACAGATAGATAGATAGACAAATAGATAGATTGATAGACAGAGAAATAGATAGATAGATAGATAGAGAGAGAGGGGGGGGGGGCTAGAGAGATAAAGACAGAGAGAGAGACTGACAGACAGCCAGCCAGTCAGTCAGACAGGCAGACAGGCAGACAGACAGACAGAGAATCCAGAACAAGGGCCCGCCAGAGCAGCCGGAAATTCGGAACCAGCGCCAGAAACAGAGTCGAGCGAGAAGAGCAAAAACGGCGTCGGGAGCGGCCGGGGAGACGGATCGGGCCTGGGACGCCGGGACAATCACACAAATGTCCTTCTAGTCCCGAGCAGGCTGAGGATTTGGAGGGGGTATTGGGGGAAGCTTTAAGATTGGGCGAAAAAAGAGGCAACAGCTGATAAATGAATTGAGAACGTTTGTTTTATTTCTGTTTCTGGAGCGCAGACACGTACGCATACAACGCACACAAACGACAGCGTCCTCGTTCTGTTCTTTCTCCTTTACATTATTCTCCTTCTCTTCTTTCTCCTCTACATTATTCTCCTTCTCGTCCTCCTCTTGTGTACAGTTCTCACTCCCCTCCTCCTGTGAAGAATCCTCACGAACAATGAATCTTACTGTAGACATCCCCCCCTTTCCCGCGCCCTTTCCTGCATTCGTTCTCCTTCCCTTCCTCCTCCTGTACCGAAAACTGCACATAATCTCCATCAGTTCCTCCTTCAACGTGAACTTTCCTGTTCCTGTTCCTTCTGTGCTGAGTCCTACATTCCTTTTCTCTTCCTTCTCTAACATACGTTCTTGTCCTATTTTTCCTCAGTATCGAGATCTTTATTTTTTCCTTCTTTCCTTGTTCTTGTCTCGAATTGCTATCCATACGTTTCTCCTATTCTCTCCTTCGTCACCGAGTCTTCCTGAACTCCTTCTCTTTCTTTTGCTCCTTCTCGTCCTCCTTTTCCTACACCTTGCCCGTCTTCGCTGACTCCTCCTGCTCACGCTCTCCTCCTCCTCTCCCTCCTCCTTGCGCCGCATGCACCTGCAGCGCCCAGGCAGATTCCGGACCCGCGCGGCGCATCTCGACGTCCTGACTGAGCGACCAGCAAAAATCCGGACCGACGAAGCTCTGCGGTTTTCACGGCTGCCGGAGAGGCTTAAAGGAGATGGAGGGCCGGTTCCTCATGGCACTCGGTCGAGGCGCTGCGAGGGAGATATGGTAGAGGAAATGGTTCTCCCAGTTTCAGTCTCTGCCTTTAACTCTGTCTGACGGGCTCTCTGTCTGTCTGTCTGACTCTCTCTCTCTCTCTCTCTCTCTCTCTCTCTCTCTCTCTCTCTCTCTCTCTCTCTCTCTCTCTCTCTCTCTCTCTCTCCCTCCCTCCCTCCCTCCCTCCCTCTCTCTCTCTCTCACACACACACACAGACAAATAACCTCAACAGCAAAATCCCGTTTACCCATTAACTTCTTACAAGGCAGCAACGTCTTTGTTTATTCCACTCCTGCATCCTTTGGGGATTCAAGCTGGTAAACACAGCGGTGTCATTCTCACAAGTGGGGAGAGGGGAGGAAGGGAGATAGAGATGAGACGGGAGAGGAAAGGAAGGGGAATAGAGACGAGGCGGGAGAGGGGAGGAAGGAGAGATAGGTAAGAGAGTTAGAGGTGAGACGGGAGAGGAGGGAGAGGAGATAGAGATAAGACGGAAGAGGAGAGGAAAGGGAAAGAGAGGGGGCAGGGAAGGAAAGGGAGAAAGGGAAGAAAGGGGAGATAGAGATGAGATGGGAAACAGGAGGAAGGAGAGTGGGGAGGTAAGAGAGAGGAAAGAAACAGAGAGACGTGAGAGAAGGGAAGGGTGAATACTCGTAGAGATAGAAGAGGGTAAAAAAGAGAGAAGGGGGGATGGGAGTGGGGAGGGGAAAACAAGAGAAAAGAGATATGAGGAAATGGAAGAGGGAGATAATGAGTCATAAATGGGGAGAGGACGAAAGGAGGAAAATGAGAGAAAGGGGAGTGATGGAAGAGATAAGCAGAGGGGGAGGGACGGGGAAAGATTAAAAAGGGGAAAAAAGGGGTATAGAGGCAAGATGGTAGACGGAAAGGGGGAGAGAGGGGAGATGAATAAGAGGACACAGGGAAAAGGGAAACGAGAGACTAAGGGATGAAGGATGAGGAGGCCAGGAGGAGTGGAAAGGGAAGAGAAGGGGGAAAGAGTAAAAAAAAGTTAAAGAGGTATATCGGGATATAAAGGGAGGGACTGAGGACACGAAGGAACGAGAGAAGAAAAGAAAGGGGAGATTCAAGAAGGAAAAGGAGAAAGAGGAAAGAGGCAGAAGGGAAGACGGGTTAAGGGGGGAGGGGGGGAGGGGGAGGTCGTGTTAGAACAGCGACAGTAAAAGACCCCTGCTTCCCCTAACTTGAGTAAATAACGGCCGAGATCCGTGGGGGGAAAGGGAGCGAGAAAGTGAATTAAAGAGGGAAGGGAAAAACGGAGAGAAGCGAAAGGTGTAAGAGGGAGATGTGACAAGAGAAAGGATGAAAGAGTGAAAAATAGAAATTTTGGAGAGAGAGAGAGAGAGAGAGAGAGAGAGAGAGAGAGAGAGAGAGAGAGAGAGAGAGAGAGAGAGAGAGAGAGAGAGAGAGAGAGAGAGAGAGAGAGAGAGGCATAAATAGACAGACAGTTAGATAGATGTGTGTGTGTGTGTATATATATACAAATATATATATATATATATATATATATATATATATATATATATATATATATATATATATATATATATATATACATATGAATATATATATATATATATATATATATATATATATATATATATATATATATATATATATATATATATATATATACATATATATACATGTGTGTGTGTGTGTGTGTGTGTGTAAAAGCGTGAAAAGAACATAAATAGGAATACCGGGAAGAGTGAGTAATAGTTAGGAGAGCGAAGAAAATAAGAAGGCATAAGAAATCTGAAGAATGGTGGAAATAATGATAAAAACAAGCCACACACACAGAGAGAGAGAGAGAGAGAGAGAGAGAGAGAGAGAGAGAGAGAGAGAGAGAGAGAGAGAGAGAGAGAGAGAGAGAGAGAGAGAGAGAGAGAGAGAGAGAGAGAGAGACGGACAGACAGACAGAGACAGAGATAGAGAGAGAGATGTACAGATAGATAGATTGATTGATAAAAAAGATAAACAGATAGATAGATAGATAGATAGATAGATAGAGATAGAGACAGGACAGAAAGAAAGAGACGGGGTCAGAGAGACAGAGGGACGGCGCAGAGAGAGACAATAAGAAGGAAAGAAAGAAAGAGAGCAAGAGATGTAATTTATGTTGGTCTCGTCCCAGCAGTAGGCGTTATGAAGAAAGAAAAGGAGGAAGAGAAGGAGGTGAGAAGAAGGAGAGAGTATCAAGAGCCTGAGCCGGAGAGGTCCTTGAGAAAAGACGGCAGACCTTGGCGTTATTCCTTGAGGTGTTTGCTGAGGTTGGAGACTCGCTATGGCCCCCCCCCCGTCCTTTTCCCTCCGCCTGCTCCTGTTTCGTCTCTCTGTACTCCTATTCACACTCGCTCCTCGTTTTGGATTCTTCTTCTCCGTTTCATTCTCCCTTGCATTTTTTTTTATTTATTTTCTTTCTTCTTTCTTCGTCCAGCTCTTCTGCCGTTCGTATCTTTCTCTTGTTTTTTTTTTCCTTCATTTTACCTCGTCCAGTAATTAAGATTCTCTTTCCCCTTTTATCTTCTTGTCATGTCTTAACCCCCTTATCTTCTATCTCTTTTTTTAGCCTTTCCCCATCCCTTTTCTCTGTTCTTCTCACCCCTTCCTTCTTCCCTAAATTTCTCCTTCTCATGCCCCGCATCTCTCCACCTCTTCTCCACACGCTTCCCTCCCCTTTCTTTCTTTTCCTCTTCGTTCATTATTTCCCTCTCACCCCCCCCCCCCCTTCGCCTCTGTCTTCTTATCATCTCCTCCTTTCTACTACCTTTCCCCTCTTCATCTTCTAACCTCCTACCATCCGCTTCTAGCTTTATCTCCACCCTTTAAGTTCCCCACTCTCCCCCCACTCTTCTTCCTCACAACCACTCCTTTCTAGTACTCTTTCACCTCCCCTCCTCCTGCCTCTCCACGTCCTCCTCCATCTCTCCTCCTGCGTCTGCTCCTCCTTCCCTGAGTAGAAGATTGGCCAGTCATTAATTAATCGAGAAGAAGAGCTCTGAAGTCGCGTTATTTTTGGTGAGGATTTTTCGTGTTCGTTTTTCCCTTGTGTTTTCCGGTTATGAAG